GTTATGTGACATATGGCCGGTTCAAAATGCAGTCGCTGCGTTCTCTTCTAGACGGTGTTTGGAGGGGCGATCTCCTCTCCTCTATTGACCTCACTGAGGCCTATCTTCATATTCCTATCCTTCCCTCCCATAGGAAGTTTCTCAGGTTCTGTTATGCGGGAGCCCATTATCAATATAGGGTACTCCCTTTTAGGCTTTCCTCTGTCCCCCGTTGTTTCACCAAGGTTTTAGCGGCGTTTCTCAGGTAAGACCAATGCCCTTTCATGACAAAATCAGTTTCATAAGCAGATGTTTGTAATTACTAGTACACAATCAGAAGCTCTTAATGTTGTTACAAATGCTTATTGTCTATCAGCATTTTTTTTAATTGGAGTTAATTTTAGAAATTTAGACCCCTGATCTGTGAATTCCTGTTGATGTCAGCCACAAAACTTGGTGTGAAGTTAATATCTGCCTCTCATGTTTTTTAGTTCTTACACATGAACTTCACCTGTATCACTATAGAAGTACAAATTCTAGAAGAATATTCTGGGTGGCTACTGTTTTTCTCTCTGTCAGCTGACACATTTTCAACTTCACCAGGAAGAGCTCTGTGCACCATTCTCCTGAGATGGCCTCTGGCATAACTCAGAGTACGCCTAGGGCTGTTCTAAATTAAACTACTGAGTGTAATCTCTAGCGAATCAGCCAAAATGGAAACACGGCTTTGCTTGGAAACTCCTACCATATTTCTTCTAATTTTAAAAAATAAATACTATTGGAACAAGGAAACAAGAACAAATGAGAGATGGAGGCAGGGTACTAGGAAAATGTTAATCTGATCAGTAGTACTATAGGGAGAAGAGTTGATGGCAGCTGTAGCTAGGTTGAAAACTTGCTGAGTCTGATATCAGTAAATGTTAAGGAAAGAAATACACAACCAAGGTTAGAAGAATCCCCAGTGGAAGCGGACTTTACTGAGAATAAAAGAAATAAAAATTCAGTGTAAGTAGAAGGTGATGAATCTGGAAAAACAGCACTAAATATATGGTGTTGCTGTTGCTGGTGGCGGCAGCAAGGAGGAGTAGAAAGAGGATTATATAAATTTATATGCCACTAGACTACCAACAACTCTAGGAAGATTGCAAATGGTTAAAAGCTTTTGAAAACAAGGAACAATTAAAAAATGGCACTAAAGCAGAGCTGTCAAACTTGCGGCCCACGGGCCGGATGCGTCACGCTCTGACCATGCCCACATGCAGTTTAGCAAAGGGGGGAAAAGTCCCGATACGTCATGTGATGCCGCTGTGATGATGTTAGTTTGACACTCCTGCACTAAAGGAAAAGCAGAGGTGTCATAGAAATTAGATAGAGGCTAATAGTATAATGCTAATAAAAAGTATTTGTTTTAAAAAAATTGATTTATATGCCGCCTTTCTCTGGAGACTCAGGGCGGCTTACAATGCGTTAAGCAATTAAGTTGTAGCTTCTTCTCTTTCAGGCAAAGGGCTTCTTTTTCAGAGGCATCCTTTACCCTGGCTACAGCGGGGATCCACTCAGGGGAGAGGCAGGACATCCATATCCCTCCTGGTATGGAAGTCTTAATTTCTGAGGCCATTAAGAGGGCATAGCAGCTGGCTTACAAAGAAGCCAGACAGCTGCTTCTGTCAGATCTGGCCAGTCCTTGCCTATAGATCTGCCTCTTACGCACCAGGCTTCAGGGGACCTTCTGCCCACTCAGGACCCATATTCCCCTGGTTCTTCTAATCACTCCCTTTCAGAGGAAGAGATGCCCAGGGATTTAGACCTGTCAGAGGACGAAGGCTTGGTGCCTGACCAACCAGCCTTCGCTGGTCTCTTCCATCCAGCATTATTCAAGCCCTTATTATATAAGGCTAGGAATATTGCTCACATGGCAGGCCATTTACCAGTGCCTGACCCACCACTGGACCCAGCTGAGCCCATGGGCTCACTGTTCTCCGAACCGACGGCAGAGACCAAAGTGGTTCCTTCGCCACATTTATTTTTGGATGTGGTGCAGAGACACTGAGTGGCCCCTGGGGTGGACCAAATCCCAGCACCCTGGATAATAGATTCTATAACATGGGCCCAGACTTGTCCAAGGCACTTCAAGTGCCAGTGGTAGATGGCCCAGTGGCAGCATTGGTCACACTCTCTGTAATGACAGATTTACCAGAGGAGGCCCTCCGATCTGAGGACCAATGGGCAGAACCGTCACTAAGGAAAGCCCACCAGGCCATTGCTTGGGTGGTCAAGGCCTCCACGGCAGCCTCCTTTTTTAATAGGTTTTCCTTGATGTGGTTGTGGCAACTACAGGACAAGATCCCTGAGGCAGACGTATGGTCTTATCAAGACCTGAATAAGCTGTCCGCCACCATGGAATTCTCCGTGGATATCATGCGCAACGTGGCATGGTTCGTGTCTACAGTGGCTTCCAGGCGTCTCCTGTGGCTCTGCCAGTGGCAGGCAGATGCCAAACATAAGTGGCAGCTGGCCTTTGCCCCATTTTCAGAGGAATGGCTATTCGGAGATTCCTTGGATCCAATCCTGGTGGAATCGCGTGACAAACATAAGATCCTTCTATCTCTCTCCCGATGGGTAGATTCCTGCCCGCCACCTTACTTCCATCACCAGCCCTTCAGGGGTTCGGACAGCAGGTTTGGCCCTCAGCACCCACAGCGCCCCTTTATGCAGAGACAGGACCAGCAACAGGATAGGGTGGGGAGGTATAAGCAGTTTCCCCCAGCCCATTCGAGGGGGAGGAATCCGTTCTTTCAGACGCCAGAAGTAATTCCATCAATGACTCTTCCATTGGGGGACGCTTGGCCATGTTTGCCAGGCAATGGGAGAGCATTAGTATGGATGCATGGGTTCGGCAGACGGTCCGCTCGGACCTCTCCTTAGAGTTCCTCTCCACACCCCTGAGGTTTTTCATTCACTGAAGCCAAACATAAATTGATTAGAACTCAGGGCAGTCAAAGGGGAAGAATATAAGCTTCAAGCCTTCGCCGATGACATGGTATTTATCATAGAACAACCAATAACAACGGGCACTAAATTATTAGACAAAATAGAAAAATACGGAAGTGTAGCCGGACTCAAAATCAATAAACAAAAAACAAAGATGCTAACGAAAGATCTCACTAAACAACAAGAAAAAGAATTAGAAGATCAATTAAATATACAAATGACAAAGAAGGTAAAATATCTAGGAATATGGCTCACCAAAAAATGCTCAACAATTAGAGAGGATAATTATGGTAAATTGGCAAAACAAGTTTAAAAAGATTTAGAAATTTGGAAAAAATTACAATTATCTCTTTTGGGAAAAGTTGCCTCAATTAAAATGAATGTTCTACCCAGAATTTTATACTTATTTCAAGTGATTCCAATAAAACCGGGGAAAAACTTCTTTAAGGATTTTACTAAATTAATAGTAAATTACATATGGCAAGGGAAGAAAGCAAGAATTAAAACAAAACACCTACAAGATACAAGAGAAAGAGGAGGATTAGCTCTACTGGACTGGGAAATATATTATAAAGCATCAGCACAAATTTGGATCAAAGAATGGATGAAACTCAAAAATAAAAGATTATTGACATTAGAAGGATTTGACTTACAATGAGGATGGCATGCTTTTATGTGGGAGGGAACAGATAAACAGCATAGATATTTTCAGAGGCACATCGTCAGACAAGCACTATACCAGACATAGCAGGGCATCAAAAAAATACACTACAATAAAATCCCGGAATGGTTATCAACCATGGAAGCCCAGATCTACCCAAATACTATGGACATCACCAAAATGAGAACATATAAAGATTTACTAAACAACCAAGAGGAACTAAGAACAAGAGAAGAATTGAAGGAGATGGGTATGGATATTGACTGGTGGCCATATCTACAAATAAAATTAAAATATAAGAAAGATTTAGCTGAATTTGGACTCCAAAATGATCAATACGAATTAGATAGAATTTTACAAGATAAATTGATAAAAAAAAAGTTTATAATTATTTACGAGAATACAAATTAGAAGAAGAAGTGGTCAAAGAAAATATGATAATTTGGGCAAAGAATTTCGGCTACAATAGCCAATTAAACAATTGGGAAAAATTATGGACAATAAATTATAAATTAACAATGTCTGTACCATATAAAGAAAACATACAAAATGTTCTATAGGTGGCACCTCCCTCCAGCCAGATTGGCAAGAATGTTCCCCAACACTTCTCCAACTTGTTGGAAATGTAAATTTTATAAAGGAACTTATTACCACATGTGGTGGACCTGTCCAAAAACAAAACAACACTGGCAAATGATTAGAAAACAAGTAGAAGAAATCACACAACGAAGATTAGAAATGAGACCGGAAACCTTTCTTCTAGGTATAATAAATGGACAATATGAAAAGGAAATAAAATATTTAATCATCCATATAATAACAGCAGCACGAATAATTTTTGCACAAAATTGGAATAGTAGTGACACACCGACAGAAGATAGAGTAATTAATAAGATTATGGAATGTGCAGAAATGGACAGGCTTACAAAAGAATTACAAGATAAAGAATTGATTTTTGCATTAAAGAAAACTATGTTAAGTTCTTCAAATGTATCCATGTAACAACATGGTAGAGACTTTTCTTGTTTGTAATGTCAAGCTAAAATTTAAGAGACACTTCAGAGGGTATTTGGCTTTTGCATTCACAAATAACTGGTCACTGTGGAATAGAACAGTGTCTAACAACTGCCTAGGCTAGGGGCATAATCCAACTCCAATTTCTATTTTTAACTTCATTTTAATACTTGGCTATTTATTTTTCTAAACCACCAATCTCCCAAATTTTCCTTTGATTCTTCTTATTTTGATTAAGAAAACATTTTTCCAGGTCATTTTATTGGTTTATCATTTGTATTGTCCTTTTAATTTTTAAAATCCGAAAACATGTGGGTTTTTTTGCATAGTAAGTAAAAGATACTTTTCCAAATCAATCTCTTCACCTGTTATTTGTAGTTCTACATTTTGTACTTTATCATATCAGGTAAAACTTCTTCCATATCTGCCATTCTTTCATTGACATCTTTTAGATATAGTTTATCCCTAGAAACAGAAATCATTATTGACAGGGTTTTAGTTACTAATTTCTGGCTGCATTATTCAAAGATCTCCTTTAATATTTCTGATGTTATAACATTTTGTTTCATTCTGTAAGTCTCACATTAACTGACATCAGGCATGAAGACTTTTCAAACCTATTGTTCTGAGGTCTCCAATACCTTTAAGATAGTTAATAGGAAATTTCCAAAACTGATTAGAATATGAGGTTTGAGAATTTGTCTTTAAAAGTCTCTTGACTTTTAAATCAAGATGGATGATCTCATTGTCTCCTGGCATTCAAACCTGCAGAAAATTGCTATCCCACAATCTCCTCATAAGAAGCATCTTTCCAGAGCACATGTTAATTTAAACTTGTTCAGCTCCCCATTTCAGACTTCTGCTGTACTGAGGACTGTAACCATCATTTAGTCTCTGCATTGGTTATAACAATGACTTTGCATAAGCCCATTTATTGTTATGCAGATTATGGAATATGGCATAATGATCTTAAGTTTTTAGAATATACATTATTTTTGTCAACAGTACAGCCAACTATTCAGAGAGATAGTGAACTTCTTATCACTGGATATTTTCAATGGAATGGAGATCTATTGAGATCGCCTGCAAATGAATCCATACGCCTAAAAGGAAGCTGGATTCCATAATTTTAGTAATTCCTTTAAATTATAGGCTGATGCTCAGTTGAATAATATATTCTGATACAAGTTTTGAGAATCATTAAAACCTCTGTACCCCTTTGTATATATACTGCTATTCAGGGATAGTCTAAATAGGAAAAATCAGGCAGTATTAGTATTATGTTTAATGTTCCATTTTTATTTAAAAAAAAGATTTTTCAATCCAAATACCTGGAATTCAAACTAAGCCTTATTAAGCCAATTATTCTATTCAATTCATTAAAATTGTATCCTGTTAAAAACTAAAATAGTTTAACTGCAGGATTTTACTTCACATATAATTTTAGCCATGAACAAGATAATTAGCCTGGAACTTAATCCCTCTATGGCTGTTTTCATAAATAATATTAAGTCAGTCCCGATCTTACTTAATAATTGATATATCAACAAGTCATTTTCCATTTAAGAGTAATGTAATATGAACCTTTAAACATTAGGCCTTCTGCCTGCATCTTTTGCTTTTGTTTTTTCAAAACCTTTTCAGGCACAGTCTGCAGGGAGTGATGTTTAACAAGTATTCTATTTATTTGCTACTTGAACTGTATAAATAGATATGACGACAAGATTCAGTGATGGCTCAGAATGACACATGGGGAAGCTAAGCTTCATAAAAAGAACTGTTAAAACAAATTTTAACATCCCGTATGCTCATTTCTCCTTTTGCTGCATCTGTAGCTAGAGGGTAAAAGAAAAATACTCATCAGAGAGATCAGTTTGTGTATGACTGTCAATGTACCATCTTTGCAAAAGAGCTGAAATGATTCCCTTAATAAGTAAATATTCCCAGTATAGGCTCTAATTGTTTCTATCTAAATGGTAGTACGTTGCTTTAAAATTATAAAATTTTAATATCCACACTTGTCTCCAGCTGTATTTCCTTTACAATTTACAGATATTTCCTTGGTCAGCACAGGTAGTCTTCGACTTAAGAGCACAACTGAGCCCAAAATTTCCATTGCTAAGCAAGACAATTGTAAAGTGAGTTGCACTCCATTTTACAATATTTTTTGCCACAATTGTTAAGCAAATCACTGCAATTGTTAAATGAATCATGCGGTTGTTAAGTGAATCTGGCTTCCCTCATTGACTTTGCTTATCAGAAGCCAGCTGGGAAGGTAACAAATGGTGATCACATGACCCTCGGACAGTGCAATTCTCATAAATACATGTCCACTGCCAGGTGCCAAATTCTGATCACGATGGGATGCTGCAATGGCCATAAATGTGAAAAATAGTAATAAGTCACCTTTTAAAGTGCCATTCTATCTTTGAACAGTCACTAAATAAATGGCGGTAAATTGAGGATGACTACTCATCGTGATATCTTCATATTAGCAGCTACTTCTCCCCTTCCTTTAAGATGAGTACTTTTAATCCCTTTGTATAAAGGTAAATTTTCCCCTCACACATATGTGCTAGTCGTTCCCGACTCTAGGGGGCGGTGCTCATCTCGGTTTCAAAGCCAAAGGGTCAGCACTGTCTGAAGATACCTCCGTGGTCATGTGACTGGCATGACTAAACGCCAAAGGTGCACAGAATGCTGTTATCTTCCCAGCAAAAGTGGTCCCTATTTTTCTACTTGCATTTTTAACGTGCTTTCGAACTGCTAGGTTGGCAGAAGCTGGGACAAGTAACTGGAGCTCATCCTGTTATGCGGCACTAGGGATTCGAACCACTGCCGACCTTTCGATTGACAAGCTCAGCGTTTTTTGATCAACAAGCTCAGCATCTTAGCCACTGAGCCACCACATCCCTATTAATCCCTTTGTATATAATGGACCAAATTTAATTGCAACATATCATTTACAGTTGGTATTATTTGTGTGATAATATAATTTGTATCATTTGTATTAGTCGGATAATCTACTCTTCGATTTGTCAATGCTTTAAGGTAGTCCAAACAAGAAGTGCAAGCCATGAGTTTAACACTACTTTTGTTGTAAGACTACAGTTTCAAAAACTTGCAAATCTGAAAATATTTCTCACTTCCTTTCCCTTTATTTTCCAAAAACCTAAGGAGGGTCCCTTCTGCGATGCTTTCCATGCGCCTATTGTTTCTGTGGACTAAAATACCTATTGCATGACAGTTGTGTAGCCTGGAGTATTTCTTCTTGTTTCTCAAGGTCATTTTCATATACTATTACAATTTATCAGACTTTTGGGAAACACAATCACTCTTTTCTCCCAATTATTCTTTTAAAATGAGATTTCATTGTAATTATATAAAAATTAGATAAAGTATAAAATGTCATTTTGTATGATAAATAAAAATAATATAAAGAGGCTATATCCAATTTTTTACACATCGACCTTAATATGCTGTACCGAAGTGCCCTTTTCTTCAAAAATTCATCTGGAGACTACATCTAACAAGAGTTTCATGTACAGTTTTGAAACATCAACATTTCAGTAGCAATTCCAATTTGGAAGGAATTTTCAAAACGATTTGTTTCAATGTTCTGCAGTGGCAGGAATTAAAGTATAGAAATAATGAGAAAAGCTGGGACTAAAAAAAAATCTTTTTTTTTTTTTTAAATAGAAAGCCATTTGTATGAAGTGACAGCCATGTGGTTTAGACTCCCAGTGTACCATTTCTAATCTAGCCTATCTTGAGAGGAAAGAATTCATCATTAAATTTCTAAAATTAGTATAGCATGCAAGATTGGTTTTTTGAAAGCCTAATTCATGTTAAAGCAAAGAGGAACAAAAAAGAACTATTGAGTAGAAGAGATTGAGGAAGAAAAGGGGAATCAGTGAAGACAAAATTTAAACTAATATTTGACAGATATCAAATGCTTTAGAGATCTGCATTCAAATAACAAAACAATAGGTGCAGTCATCATAATAGTTAAATAAATAAGATTCAGAGTCCATACTATGTGTGGTGGTGGAAATTACACTTTCCAATTATGTCAACGTAATTGCTTTTAGATCAGAATTAATTGACATAGTTTCTTTATTTTTATTTACTTATTCATAAGGAAGTTCTCTTCTACTCTTGGCCAACCTAATCAGGGATCAACAGGAAACAGTCCAGGATACATAAATGTCTTTAGATTTTTCAGAGACTCTTATCAAAGTCTTTAATGAATGTTGTTCTGCTTGAATTTAGTTAGCAGCAGCAACCACAATTAAATTTTCTGACAGACAGGGTTGTCTTTGTGGTACAGTCAGATGTGAAAAAATAGAGCTATAAGAATTTCAAATTTAAATGTATCACTATTATTCTTTGAATGTCCTTTGCTTCTTACAAATGTGTGAGCATGTGTATAAAAAGACAATATAATTTTTCCACCATTGCTAACTATGTACTAGTGGATTAACTGAGTTCAAACTGAAGACACGCCTTCTGCCAACGGTCCCATTTCGACTCAGTCTAAAGCTCAATTAGACATGTAGGAACAGCTCTCAGACCTTGCTATTTTTTTAGATAAATTTATTCTAGGCAGAGTTCTACCAGATGGTTAAGGAATAGAAGAGCAGCAGCTTTGGGAATTTGCAGTGTGAAGAGCCATCGGCTCGAGCCCGCTGTCGGCTGCAGCAATTTGGGTGCCAAGAAGAGGCTGTCAGAATAAGACTCCACTGACAGCCAGCGCCATTTTAAAAGTAGTGTGAAGGGCCATTGGCTCAAACCCACTACTCAGAGGCAAGGAGCGCTCAGGCTGAGCTGCGGAGGTCAGATGCGTTTTACAGTTTGATAAAGAAGACAGCTCCACTGTCAGCAGCACCATTTCGAGCCCACTATCAGTTTTGACTATTTAGGCGCCAGAAGGGGCTGTTGGGAAAGACCCACTGACAGCTGGTGCCATTTTCAGAGTAGCGGGAAGGCCCATTGGCTCGAGCCCGCTGCTCAGCTGACTGATCAGGCAGTGGACCAATCAGATTGGGCCACGGAGCCCAGGAGATCGCACAAGCCGCGACTTGGTCTTTCTAGAAAAAGAGAAGTTTCTAACCTTCGGAGCATTAGAGCTTTTAGAGGAGTGCAGGAGACAGGCTCTCTCGGCTGCCTGCCCAGAAGGAAGCGCAGACCCTGAGCAGCGTCTTGTAGAAGCGGCATGGAGACGCTTCTTTAGGCTGCCTGCCCTGTAGGGAGGTAGACTGGGAGCTACAGCTTCTATCATTTATCAGAACATCTGCTGGGAGCAACTGTCAAGTTGGAGTTGTTGTGTTGGCGCGTTACCATAGCGATGGAAATGCCTGCACCTGATTGGTTGGGACGGGGTTATGCTAAGTGTGGGAGTTACTCATTTCCTGATTGGTTAATGCTGTTCTGTTTGCCAAGTATAAAAAGGCAAACTGTCAGATAGACTGACAGTTCAGTATTCTAATGTTTTGCTGTTGCCTGAAATAAACCGATGTTACGTTGACATCCTCGCCTCAGTTAATGACTATAATCCAAACACAACAAGTGGCGACGAGGATGGGATTTTGAGGCGACGGAAGAAGTGAATGTTATTCTGAGCGGCCGCACTGAGGTAAAGTAAAATACAAACAAACCTGACAGGAATATGGCCTCTCCTATGTTCGCCCCATTTAACGCAGTTGCAGAGACGTGGCAGGCATACGAGGAAAGATTTGAATGTTACTTAGAAGCGAATGAATTCACTGAACTTTCAAGCAGCTGAACGCGCGCTCATTTTCTAAATGCTTGTGGGCCAGAAGTATTCGCAACGGCAAGGGCATTAGTCGCTCCTCTTCCAGTACACACGGCTCCCTGGGAGGCATTACAAGAGAAACTGAGGAATCATTACTCACCAGTTCCCTCCCGTATAGCCTGCCATTTTAACCTGAGACAGATAGTGCAAGAGGAAGGAGAGTCCATAAACCAATACATGGCTCGCCTCTGAACGGCAGCTTTAGATTGTGAGTTCAGGGACTTGGATGATGCCCTTGTAGAACAGTTAGTTTGTGGCATCAGGGACATCCGACTTCAAAGGAGGCTGATAGCAAGGAAGGATTTGGACCACCCAGTTATCTTGGGTGAGATAACTGAGCCTGCTGTGGCCACTGATCTTTGGGGACTGACCTTGACTGGGAGACTTCAGGCCTTTGGCAGAGGCCAGAAAAGGGCTTTCCAAGCCTGGTGTGTGGAGGCATGCTGGTAGACTAGGTCATAAGATAGCATATACATCTCCCTGTGACCACAGGGAGATGGCTGAGAAAGCTCAGACTGATAGAGCTGCCAGTCGAGGTTCCAGATATGTATCCTCTAAATAGAAGTGGAATCAAGGGAGCTCAGTCAAGATAAGGGCCAAGGCTATCACTAGCAAGAGACCATCTAAGCTACAGGAGAAAGGGGAACAAAGACTTCAGAGGGCCTTAGAGAAACAGGTGGCCAAAGGGGCTAAAGAAGAAGAGAAGATAAGACACCTCAGCCCCCTAGGGGACAAGGATGCTATTGCCGGTCCTCTTTACAGTCAGATATCAGAGCCACCCAATGTCAGCACGGCAGGGGGCTCAATTTTCCAGGACTGGCTGCCTGTGAACATTGCAGAGCCTGGATTAGTTCAGATAGCAGATCCTGGCCTTTCAACGAGCAGCATGGTGCCTCCACAGTCCCTGTCACCTTTGCCGCAAGGTAGAGCAGCATACAGTCATATAGGGCATCCACCCGAGGCCACTTTCACCCCTACCGCGGGGGATTCTGACACAGAAATGCCACTAAGAGTTCAGAAGTGGATTTCTGAGGCAGTTAAGCGAGGCTTTGAGGCTGGCATACAGCATAATTGGCAACCAGCATCGGTGGTACCGGAGTTGCCTGTTCAGGGGAGGACATTTCAGGACCCATGGGACACCAGGGTCCCTGCTCCCCGGACTCTTCCACAAGGAGTGATAATTCTATCTCTGAGGAAGAGGGTCAGGTAGATCAGGAGTTATCGGAAGAGGAAGGGATGGCGCCTGAACAACCTACCTTCAAAGATCTTTTCCAGCTGCATTTGTTTAAGACTCTACTTTTTAAGGCCAAGAGTTTGACCCGATTGGGTACGGACTCTACAAGGCCTGAGGATTCTCAAGGGGAGGCAGATCCTACTGAACTGCTTTTTTCGGAGCCTATGGCAGAAACAGAAGCCATTCCAGCGCCACAGCTGTTCATGGACATGATTCTACGTCAGTGGGTTTCTCTTGGGGCTTATTCCAACTACACATTTGATAGGAAATTTTATAATGTCACCCCAGACCTCACAGAACTTCTACAGACCCCTGAGGTGGATGAGCCAGTGATGACACTAGCATCCCCCTCAGCCACTCTCACTGATGCTGAGGATGTACTGAAGTCACAGGAGACAAAAATGGAGCTAACACTTTGCAAACACTTTCCTTTTTTACCCGAGCATCGCTGCTTTGCTTAAGACATATGCAGGAGAGAGTGCCGGCCAGTGACCTACGAACACATCAGGACTTTAATAAAATTATGGCGGCCACTGAGTTCACAGCAGATGCCACACTTAATTCCGCAAAGTTTGGGGCACGGGCCATTGCCTCTTTGGTCACGGCCAGACGCCTCCTTTGGCTTAAGCACTGCAGGCTGACACTAAGAGGAAGTGGAAGTTGGTGTCTGCCCCATTTAAGGAGGCCAAATTGTTTGGGGCGTCCCTAGAACCAATTTTGGTGGAATCTAGGGACAAGAGGAGAGTTTTACCATCCCTCTCCTGGCATTTTGACCGCTATCCCTCCCTTCCTTTCCATAAGCCCTATTTTCACCCATATACAGGATCGAGAGAAAGGTTTCACGCCAAGGCACTACAACCAGCCAGGGAAGGGGTTCACGGATAGGAGTAAGTCGCAACCCCAGAACAAGCGGTCCTTTCAAGGGCAGGGGGCAATTGCCCCTTTTGCTGCTCAAGATGACTCCAGGGCCAGGGCTTCCATTGGTGGCTGGCTAAGTCTATTCGCGCACCAATGGGAAGAAACAACCACAGACGCTTGGGTCAGAGAGACCATAAGATCAGGTCTCTCTCTAAAATTTCTTTCCATGCCCCCGAGGTTTTTTATCTGTTCTCCCGTATCCAGAGACGATACCAAAAAGAAGCTCATGGAGGCCACCATCCAGCATTTACTGGATATACAAGTGGTGGAGGCGGTTCCCAAGAATCAAAAGGGACATGGGTATTATTCCATACTTTTTGTGATTCAGAAAGCCTCGGGGGGGGGGGTTGAGACCTATTCTCAATCTCAAGGGGCTCAACAGGTTTGTAAGGTACCAGAGGTTCAAGATGCATTCTCTACAATTGATATTGGAGAATGTCGGAGAGGAAGACTTCTTGACCTCCATCAACCTCATGGAAGCGTACTTGCATGTACTGATACTACCACTTCACTGGCAGTACCTGAGGTTCTGTTACAATGGCAGACATTTGCAGTATAGGGCCCTACCGTTTGGACTGGCATCGGCGCCCAGGGCGTTCACCAAGCTCTTGGCAGCACTGGGGGCCTCTCTCAGGACCCGACCAGTCCAGATACAATGTTATCTGGATGACATTCTAGTACAATCCTCCTCACAGAGAAAGGCGGAGGAAGACCTACTGGTCACTGTACAATTTCTACAGAACCATGGCTTCTCCATCAATGTGGAGAAGAGCCACCTCAGCCCAGTTACCCGCCTATTACAACTGGGGGCGATAATCGACATGTCAGGTTTTTCTTTCACCGGACTGCCTGGAGAGCATCAGGACACTAATAAAACAGATCCACTCGGACAAAGTGGCTCCTCTAGATGATATCTTGCATTTTGTACTTGAAGAATGCAGACAGACTGGCTGAGCAGGGCCAGCATAGACCATTTGGAGTGGTGCCTACACCCAGAATTGTTCAGGGAGATATTGGATTGGTTTGGCCAGCTGGTCCTGGACCTTTTGGCCTCCCTGGAAAACAGCCAGCTGCCCCACTTCTCCAAATTCCCAGCACTGGGGTCGGAGGGAGTCAACGCCCTCGGTTGCCCATGGCCCCGGGGACTCCTGTATGCATTCCCACCCCTGGCCTTGATCCCACGGTTGCTCAGGAGGGTATTGATTGAGGGCAGAGATAATACTAATAGCGCCTCACTGGCCTAGACATCTGTGGTTTGCAGATCTGGTCAGCCTGTCAATTTCCAGACTGTGGAGGATTCCTCCGGACAGGGTCTCCCTCAGCCAAGGTCCCATCAGCCACGTGGAGCCACAGTGGCTCCAGATGACCGCATGGCGCTTGAGCAGACTTCTGATGGGGGAACAGTGTAATACACACTATCCAGTTGGCCAGACTACTGTCCACCACCCGGATTTATAATGCTACCAGGAAGATATTTTGTGGTTCATCGATATCCCACCTGGGATCTACCCAAGGTACTGCAGGCTCTCATCAAGGCACCATCCAAACCCCTACAGAGTAACCACCTCAGTTTCCTGACTTACAAGATGGTCTTTTTAGTGGCCATAACATTGGCCAGAAGGATATTGGAGGTGGCGGCCCTCTCCGTAAGGGAAGATTGCTGCATCTTCCACTCAGACAGGGTAGTGTTGAGGCTGGACCCAGCCTTCATATCCAAGGTCAACTATTTGTTTCATAGAACTCAGGAGTTGATTTTGCCGAATTTCTGTCCCAAACCCTCTCATTCCCAGAACACTCTTGATGTGCAGAGGGCCTTGTGCATCTATATAAACTTTCAGAAAGACACAGGTGCTATTTGTATCATTCCAAATGGCTACTATGGGACAGAAAGTTACTGCTTCAACAGTAGGCCGGTGGCTTCACATGACTATTGCCAAGCCATATGAATTGCAGGCCTTGCCGAGGCCTAGGGCGCTCACGGCACATTCCACCAGGAGCACCGCCACTACAGCAGCATGGGTGACGCAGGCTTTGGTTGAGATTTGTTGAGCAGTGACCTGGTCTTTGCCATTGCCTTTCATCAGGCACTATAGGCTCGACTCTTTCACCTTGTCCGAGGCTGCCTTTGGCAGGCGGGTCCTTCAGCGGGTTCTGGGAGTGCCCAGTGGGCAGGACCAGACAGAGACCCTCTCGTAAGGACAGCCAGCTTTGGTATGTCCCATGCCTGGAGTCTATCATCACCACACTGGAGAAGGGGCATTGGTCTTACCCGATACACTCCTTCTCAGGGAGTGTATCAGCGATAAACTCCAGCCCCACCTTAACGAAGGTGTGGTCCAGGGTAGAATTGGGGCATTGTTGCAGGTACTACAGTCTAGGACATTGCTGTAACATCGTCAAAACTGGGGACCATTGGCAGAAGGCACGTCTTCAGTTTGAACTAAGTCTAAAGAGCTAGGAGACTCTCATGCCTGGAGTCTATTGCCACACCCTGAGAAGGAGCATATCAGGTTAAGACCAACGCCCCATATCATTTGTCTAATCACTAAGGGCCACTGAGTTCCAAGTATGCAACATAATTGATTTTTCAGCAGAGAAGAAAAGTGAAATCTGATTATTAAAATAGATTTATAGTGTTTTAAATTAGGTA